CATGCCCATGCTCTTGGTCACCTCTGTCGGCCTCGCCTGTGGGTCGCTGCTGGCCTGGGCCGTGTGTGCCTGTTCGATCTCAAGGGGCCCAAGGACACACAAACAAAGACACACAAGTAAAACAAATGCCAATATTTTCCCATATTTTCTGGGTTTTTGTCTTCCCGCCCAGTTCCCATATCTTCCCATGTTTTCTTGAAAATCGCCAATTAATCGTGTCTGTGTGTTTCTTTCCCTCCTGACGATCGTCTCGGCGTCGGTGGCCAGGGCCCCCGTCTTGGTGGCGGAGATCCGACGGCCCAGCGCGCACAGTCTGGTGGCCAACAAGGCAGCGGCGGCTGCGCAGCGGCGGCTGCCCTCCCTCGGGGTCGCCGAAGGCCGCGCGTGCGGCAGGTGGGGCGGGAGGCCCAGTTGCCTGTCGGCCTGCTCGGGGCGCTCGTGAAGGCCAGGCCTCCCAGGGTGCCTCTGCTCTGCTTCGAGTCCGAGGGCGGCCCAGGCCTCTTGCCACAGGGCTGCCTCGCGTGTGTTGGTCTCTTGCTCTTGTGTCTCCGGCGGCCACGGCGCTGGCCCCCTCTCCCCCTCCCAGTACTCTTCCCGCTCTTCCCTTCCGCGGCCGCTCGCTTGTTCCCCTTGCTGTCTTCGTCTGCCCGCGGCCCCGGCGCGGACCGCCAGCCACCCGAAGGCCGCGTTGTGCGCTCGCCCTCGCCGCTGACAGCCACAGAGGTGCGGGACCCAACCATGTGCAGGTGTGGGTACCGTGAGGCAGGCGGGACAAAGGAGGGGGAGCTCCAGATGGGGCCACGAAGCGTGCGAGGAATGTGCCGAAATGGACCTGGGGACGCATGCGAGCCCTGTCGCTGGGGCCTTCGGTGGAGCTCCCCAGGGGGCCACGAGACGTGAGGGGTGTGCCGAACTTGACCCGGGGACGCATGCGGGCCCTGCCGCTGGTGTTCCTGGTGGAGCTCCTACATGGGGCCAACAATTCGGGAGTGGTGTGCCGAAATCGGCCTGGGGACGCACGCGGGCCCTGCCGCTTGCCGCCGGGGCCTTCGGCAGGGTTCCCTATGGGACCATGAGGCGTGTCAGGGGTATGCCGAGAAATAGGTGGAGAACTGCATTCGACATCCTCTTCCTGGGGGCTTCGGTGGAGCTCCCTGTGGGGCCACGAAGCGTGTGAGGGGGAGGGGTGTGCCGAACTGGGCGGGGAGGGAGGGTGTGAGGCAGGGCGGCGGAGGGAGGGAGGGAGGGAGCGGAGGGAGGGAGGGAGGGAGGAAGGGAGGGGGGGAGGGGGGGAGAAGGAGGAAGAGAAGGAGGAGGAGGATGAGGAGGAGGGAGGAGGGGGGAGGGAGGCGAAGGAGGAGGAGGGAGGAGGAGGAAAGAGAAGGAGGGAGGAGGACGGAGGATGGATGGAGGGAGGGAGGGAGGGAGGGAGGGAGGAGGAGGAGGAGGAGGAGAGCAGGACTAGTAGGAGGAGGAGGAGAAGGAGGGCGAGGAAGAGGAAAAGGAGCATGAGAAGGAAGTGGAGGAGGAAGAGGAGGAGGATGATAACTAGTAATCATAAGCATAATACTAATCGGGATGCGAACGCTAAGATTGAGAAGAAAACGACGGATTATACTGCTACTCCCTCTTGGTACAACTTATAGCAAGACGCAACTAATACGAGCACGAACGCGACTACGACAACTTCGAGTTCGACGAATAATTTTAAAAGTATTAGTAACAACACAAAGACGAAGCGTACGCATAATAATATTACTACTATCATGAATAAGAGCAATCATCAGACGAACCTTCCGACTAATATTATGAATGCGACACTTTCTATTACTCGTAATTGTGATAATCATTGCAGTGCTACTTCTAAGACTACGACTAGTACGATTACTACTACGACCTATAATATCAATACTACATATGCCAAAACTACTAGTAGCAGGGTTAGCACCAATCATAACGAGAGTATCTCGAGTAAAAATATTCATGGGTTTGATGTTGATGTAACTACAATGCGGGCAATCCTAGTACTACGCATGCAACTAGTACGAACCACACCACTAATGCTAACCATCCTACGAAATCTGATAAGAACTTTGAAAGTAACACGACTGATAATAGTGCTGCTTATACTATGACTAATACACACAGAAGTAGTACTACTAAGATGAGTAATACGACATACACGGTCAATACTACTGACAAAAACATTGCGAGTGTTCGTTGTAATACTCGTAGCATTGCTATTGCTACGAACCATCTTCAAACTATTACTGAGGCAAGCAATGATAATACTAGTATCCGTCATACTCATAATCGTTTTACTCATACTATTATCATCGACAGTACTAATACTAAGACGAATGCGAGTATTTTCTTAATTTTTCCCTACCTAGTCTCTGCCTAGAAGGGTTCTTACTCTCTTTCTTACAGGGGCCAGGCAGTGGAAAGCGCCCCGGGCGGTTCCCCCCGTATCCGCCCCGCGGTTCCCCCAGTTGCGTCCCCTTAGCTTAGCGTTTCTTATCTCATCTTAGCTTAGCCTAGCTTAACTTAGCTTTGCTTAGCTTAGCCTAGCCTAGCTTAGCTTAGCTTAGCTTAGCCTAGCCTAGCTTAGCTTAGCTTAACTTAGCTTAGCCTAGCCCAGCTTAGCTTAGCGCAGCATTAGCATTCACATTAACATTCGCATAGCATAGCATAGCATAGCACGGCGCAGCATAGCATAGCGCAGCATAGCATGCCATACCATAGCATAGCATAGCATAGCATAGCGCAGCTTATCATAGCATAGCATAGCATAGCATAGCTTAGCGCAGCATAGCACAGCGCAGCATATAATAGCATACCATAGCATAGCATATCATAGCATAGCATAGCATAGCATAGCATAGCGCAGCATAGTATAACTTAGCATAGCACAGCGCAGCATAGCATAGCACAGCATAGCATAGCGTAGCGTAGCAAACCATAGCATAGCCTAGCATAGCATAGCATAGCATAGCGCAGCATAGCATAGCATAGCATAGCATAACGCAGCATCGCATAGCATAGCATAGCATAACGCAACATATCATAGCATATCATAGCCCAGCATACCAGTGCGCAGCCGTGCGTACCCTAGCATAGCATAGCATAGCATAGCGCCGCATAGCGCAGCATAGCGTAGCATAGCGCAGCATGGCAAAGCACAGCACAGCATAGCATAGCGTAGCATAGCGCAGCATAGCATCGCATACCATAGCATAGCAGCAACGCAACGGCAACAGCAAAAGCAACAGCAACAGCAACGACACGACAATGCAACGCAAAAGCAACACGACTGCGAACGTGTAGATGTAGATGTACTGTGACTGTAGGTATAGATGTAGATGTAGGTGTAGATGTAGGTGTAGATGTAGATGTAGATGTGAGTCTCGCTGTTGATGTTGCTGTAGATGTAGATGCAGGGGTAGATGTTAATGTAGCTGACGGTGTAGATGTAGATGTTGCTTTCCTACATGCTCCAACTCCTAGGTAGGGTCGCACTGGGATACTTTGCATTAGTGATCTCGAAACACGAAGGATTGTCATGATAGTGCCAGTCGTCATGTTAACAGTATCATTAATAGCAATAATAGTCACAACGCGAATCAGCTCAATACTCATAACCAGAGTACTCGTAGTAAGGGTAATGGTTACACTAACAATAGTACTACTAAGAACAATACAGGTGCTGATACCCATATATACGTATATACATACATATCAGACGGCTGTTTTTTGTAATACTACTAGACGTACTATTATTTATAATACTACCAGTAATGCTGGTACTACTAGTTTCAAATCCGCCACATATAAAGAATGTTCGGGATCTGGCTATGCAGAAGAAGAGGGCTATACGACGAATGCTGACACGAACACGAGGCGGAGGAGGCGGAGGAGGAGGAGGTGGAGGAGGAGGAGACATAACAATAACAACGCAGAAGCAACATCATAATAATAGGATTGCTAGTCAACGTAATGTCGACAAGAAGAAGAAGACTAAGACGAACAAAAATCATAATTCCAATAACGAGAATCAAACTAATACTAGTACTAACAAACATGTAGTGATATTGGGCAGACTACGAACACACATAATACTACTAGTAATACTAGTACCAATCATACCCATAGGTATAATAACGATGCGAGACATACGGAAAACACTAATAATGATATCAGTACGAGTAGACCGACTTAGAACAATAAGAAGCTAATACGCATACTACGCTGATTAATTCGCACAGCTACTAACTACTCTCATTCGCTAATACGTATACTACTACTACTACTACGAATGCTGAAACATAATAATCTTATTCATATTCTGTTCAATAAGAGTAATAAGAAGGAAAAGAGTAAGATAACTAATGCTAAGACTCGTCACACCATTCAGAAGAACATGCGAACGTCGTAGTGGTAGCAGTCTTCTTAATCCGAATTATAAGAGTCCCAAGACGAGGAGTAATATTAAACACTATCACGAATGCTACACGAAGGCCAAGCAGTTTAATAATACTGTAAGAATGTTACGACATGTTATGGATATGCATACGACTATTATTAGTAATGCGTAACAATAAAAATATGATAACTACTGGTACTACGAATGATAGGCTAATGCTATGAATGCATCGTTTTCGGAATATGCGCAATACGAATTATATGCATAAAAAGCAGATGCATACTATTAGTATGTTAAGAGTGAGAAGAGTATTCAGAACATTATTCATCATCATCAGTCGACGAAACGTAATTATTTCACATCAACAAAATGGTACATTACTGATGCTACGACTAAATAGTACCACTCGTAACATGAGTATTAGTAGTAAGAATAACAGTAATACGAAGACGATTCATGCTACTTCTCGTCGTAAGCATAACGGCAGCGATTATCGTACTACTCCTAACTCTAACAAGAAGCAGAAGAAACACAGTAGCATGAGGAGAGCTCGGCGTTGACGGCACCGCTCCTGCAGGTTGGGTCGCCCTCCGGCGCGACGAGCCCGACGTGCTTCCGGAGGCCCCAGGCCGGCCCGCATCGCGGAGGGCCAACGCCTCGCCGCAGCCCTACCGGGGGGTTGGGAGAGCTCGTCGCGTCATAAGGCGCTGGCGCCGACGCCGACGCCAACGACGACGACGACGAGGACGAGGACGAGGACGAGGAGGAGAACGAGCTGCGCTGGCGGCGACGGGCGGCGGATGCTGCTGTGGTGCGCCCCGCGGGGGGGTGGCTGGCGGAGTTCGCGCCGGGCACGAGGAGTGCGGGTGCCGACCCGCTGAGCAGGACCGCAGTGTGCCCTCGTCATGAGATTTGGGTTTTTCCGCCCCGAAATAGGCCCCAGCACCTTCGTGGGTGAGCGATTTGGCTCGAGAGATGTCGTACACGGATGGGGTCCAGGGCTCAGGTTTTGATTTTCCGCGATGTTGCATTTTTCCGCGATGTCAGACCTCATGGCTCTGCGCGGACCTTCGCAAGTTCATGTGTATGTTATTGTTTGTTCCCCTGAGGACGCAGCCTCTGCGCTCGGTCGAGCCCGTGGACGACGTTGACGAGGCGGGCCCAACTCACGGGGTCAGGGGCAACGTTTGGGGGGCGTGTTTCGGGTTCCAGGTTCCAGGTTCGAGGTTCGAGGTTTTCGGGCGTCCTCGTCGGATCTCGGCGGTTCTCGAGCCTCGCGGTGCTCTCCAGCGGCTTCGCCTCGCCGAGGGCATTCTCGAGTTGTCCAGATCGTCTCGAACAGCCGCTGGAGAGCCGAGTTCTGATTCGTAAACCATTTGGAAACCTTAGGGGCTGCTAGCTCAGGGTTGGATTCCTTGACCCCCAATCGCCCACTCATCGCCGGTAGGGGTCCGATAGCCCAACCTGCCCAGCAGCGTGCGGTTTCGCTGTCGGGGGCCTCGCCGATCTCTCGGCCAGGCATCGCCGATTCCAGGTCGATGTCATCCCCCCGTTGATCGGCCGCGCGCTGAGAGGGGTATGGGGCAGGGGGGAAGTCTCTTTAGAACACAGTACAGCGTTCCCCCCCGCCCAGAGCAGCGCTTCGTGGCCCCATAGTGAGCTTCACCGAAGCAGATATTCACAATTGCGGCACCCACAACTGCATATGGGTGGGACCTTCGCCTGGATAACTGTTTTTTGCTTTTATGCCGTCTCCTGTCCCTCTGCGATCGAGCAGCTCCGCTGCTCGAGCGTTCGAGCTTCCTGTCCTGGCGAGGAGGCCCTGGCTCTACTCCCCCCCCCCGCGCTGCACCACCCTGCAGCAATGCAGGAGCTACGGGAAGGGGTGTCTGCTCCGAAGAAGCACCCTGTCCTCGGCTTCACCCTAGCATGCTAATACTATGTGCGCGTCGTCCCCCAGGGGCGACGCGCGCGCCGAGAAATCCTCTGGTGTAAGCTCTGTGGCAGGCGCTTTCTGGCCATACCGCTCGGGAAACGATGTACTACAAGATGCTTGTGCTATGTGTTCGTGTCGAACGCGCGCCTTCGAGGAGTACACATAGTACTACTATGTCCATCGTGGTCTGAACAGGGTTTTCGTTCGCGATCTGGTCTTAGCCGTCTGTCGCGCGAGGCCCCCTGTCCTGGCACCCCTCCGGGCGGCGCGGCAGGCGCCCGATGGACCTCATGGGCGGTGGCCGGCAGGCGGGACGTACCAGAATGATGGTTGATTAACCGACGGGCGAGAACCAGTCTCGGTGAGCGTTTCGGACGAGTCGGTGCCGGACGAGTCGTCGACGATGGCGACGATGTGTCTCGTCGCGGGCGCTGGGCCCAGGCCTGTGGCGTGCCTTTGGCGTACCCCTTTGGTGGCAGAGCGGGCCGAGCCTACACCTTAGGCGATGCTTAAGAAAACCTAAGTTTTCGGCCAGAGTCTCGATGATTCTTAATATTTCAATGTAAACCCTAAGATTTCGAAAGAAATTCTGGGTTTTTATTCGAATTCTGAGACTATGAATTTCTTAACCCATGATTTTTTAAGCATCTCGCAGGGTGTACCCCTCTGGTGGCAGAGCGGGTCGAGCCCAGACGCAGCAGCACGGGCCGGCGGCGCGGCCAGGCGCCCTCGTGCGCGGCTCACGCGGCCTCGGCGCCGGTGGAGTCCCTGCGCCAGCCGCGGCGGGCCGACGAGGACACTCCCGGCCACGACTACAACCAACGACGACGACGACCACAGCAGACGACGACCGACGACCACGACGACGACCGACGACGGTTACGACGACGGTGCCACCGACGACCACGACGGCAAACGACGACCACGACGACGACTACGACGGCGACGGCGACGACGACGACGATGACCCACGACGACGACGACGACGACGACGACGACGACCATGACCGACGGAGACGACGACTACGATGGCGACGACCACGACCACGACCACGACGACGACGACCGACGACGACCAACGGCGATGTCGACCACCATGCCGACGACAACGACGACGACGACGAAGACGACGAGCACGACAACGACGATCCATGACGACGACGACGACCACGACGACGACGACCACGACGAAGACGACGATGACGCCGACCACGGCGACGACGACGACGACAACTACGAGGACGACGACGGCGAAGGCGACGACGGCGACACCGACGACGACGACGACTCCCCACGGCGACGACGACGCCGACGACCTCGACGACGACGACCGACGGCGACGACGACGACGACGACCAGGACGACGACGACGACCAGGACGACGACCATGACGACGACGAGGACGATGGCGACGACTCCCCACGGCGACAACCACGTCGACGACGACGACCACGACGCCGACGACGACGACGACCGACGCGGACGACGCGGAGGACGACGACGAAAGTGACCGACGACCGACGATGACGACGGCCACGACCACGACCACAACGACCAGGACGACGACGTCCGACGACGACCGACGACGCGGACGACCAAGACGACGACGACCACGTCGACCGACGACGACGACGACAACCGACGACGACGACAACGACCACAACAGACGATGAAGACGACCACGACGACGACGACGACGGCGACCGACGACGGCGACGACCACGACGACGACGACGACCGACGACGGCGACGATGACCGACAACGACCGACGACGACTACGACGGCGACGGCCACGACGACGACCACGACGAAGACGACCGACGGCGACCGCTGACGACGACCGACGACGACGACGACGTTCGACGACGAAGACGACATGCACGACGACGACGACCCACGACGACGACCACGGCTACCACGACCACGACGAAGCCGACGACCACGACGTCGACGACCAGAACGACGACGACGACGACCACGAGGTCGACGACGACGATGGCGACGACGGCGACAACGACGACGAAGACGACGACTTCCCACGGCGACGACCACGTCGACGACGACCACGACGACGCCGATGACCACGACGACGACGACCGACGGCGACGACGACAACGACGACCGACGAAGACGATGATCACGACGACGGGGACGACGACCACGACGACGACGACGATGGCCACGACGACGACGACCACGACCGACGACGACGACCGACGACGGCCGACGACGAAGACGACCATGACCACGACTACCACGTCGACCGACGAAGACGACGACGACGACCGACGGCGACGACGACGACGACCACAACAGACGACGACGACCACGACGACGATCACGACGACGACGACCGAGGACGACGACGACGACTGCGACGATCACGACAACAACGACCACGACGACTACGCCGGTTGCCACGACGACGACGGCGATGACAACGACGCCACCGACGACCACGACGATGACGACCGAAGACGACGACGACCAAGACGACGACGACGGCGGCGGCGATTCCGACTACGACGGCGACAACGACGACGACGATGGCCACGACGATGACGACGACGACGGCGACCGACGACAACGAGGACGGCGACTACGGCGACGACGACGACGACGACCGACGGTGACGACGACCGATGACGGTGGACGACGACGACTACCACGATGACGACGACGACCGACGACGACCGACGACAACGCCGCCGACCGACGACGACGATACCGACTACGGCGACGACGACGACGACGGACGCCTGCGACGACGACGACGCCACCGACGACCACCACGACGACGACCGATGACGACGACGACGACGACGGCGACGTCTGCCGACGGCCGCGACGACGACCGACGGCGACGACGACGGCGACGACCGACGACGACGTCGACGACAGACGACGATGACGAGCACGACGACGACGACGACAGCGACGACAAAGTTCACGATGTTGGCGACGACGGCGACGACAAATACCACGACGAGGGCGACGACCGACGACGACGACGGCGACCACGACGACAATGACCCCGACGTCGACGGCGACCGACATCGACGACAACAACGACGACGACGGCAACGACGCTGGCGACGCCGACGGCGACCATCGACGACCACGAGGATGGCCACGACGACAATGACGGCGGCGACGGCAACGACGACGACGATTGCAGCGACGACGATGACGGCGACGGCGACCACGTCGACGACGACGACCGACGACGTCCGACGACGACCGACGACGACGACGACCACGACAAATGCGGCGGCGACGACGACGGCGACGACGACGACGACGAACGACAACGACGACCAAGACGTCGACGACGGACGACCACGACTATGACGTCGATGGCTGAAGACGACCGGCGCCGACAACGACGACGGCGACGTCGACGATGACCACGACGACGACCACGACCACGGCGGCGACGCCGACGACGACGACGATGACCGACGACGACCGACGACGACCGACGACGACGATGACGCCGACGACGATGCCGACGACGACGACGACGCCCACGACGACGACGACGTCGACGACAGCGGCGACGACGACGCCGACGACGCTGGCGACGACGACGGCGACTACGACTAAGACCACGTTGACGCCGATGCTGACGACGACCACGACCACGACGACCACAAGGGCGACCATGAGAACGACCACGACGGCGACGACGCCCAGGACGATGACGTCACCGACTAGGATGGCAACGACAACAGCGACGACGCCGAGGCCGGTTTGAGACGACGACGGCGGCCGATAACCGACGACGACGACGACGATGTCAACGGCCAGGGTGACGACGCCGAGGCCAATTGCGACAACGACGATGACGACAGACGACCGACGACCGACGACGACGACGACGACGACATCGACGACCACGTTCAGCACCACGACCAGGACCACGATCACGACAACGACGACGATGACGACGCCGACGGCGACGACGACGACAGATGACGACGACGACCGACAACGACCGATTACGACGACGACGTCGACGACGATGGTGACTACGAGGATGGCGACGAGGACGACCGACGGCGACGGCGACGACGGCGACGGCCACGACGACGACAACCATAACGAGGAGGACCACGACGACGACGACGACGGCGCCGAGGCCGACGACGACCGACGACGACGACGACGACCACGATCACGAACGCGACCACGACGACGGCGATGACGACCACGGCCACGATCGCGACCACGACGTCGACGGCGACGACGACGACGCCGACGATGACTGACGACGACGACAGTGACCGATGACGACGGCGACGGCGACGACCACGAAAACGACCACGACAGCGACCACGACGACGACGACCACGACGACCACGACCTCGTCGACGACCGATGACGACCGACGACGACAAACGACAACGGACGATTCCGACAACAACGACGACCACGACCACGACGACGATCACGACCTCGACGACGACCACGACAACCGACGGCGATCACGATGACCACGACGAGGACGAGGACGGCGACGACGGCGACGACGACTACGACGACAACTACGCTGCCGACCGACGCCACGACGACGACGACCGACGACCACGATGACGATGACGACGCCGACGACGACGACGACGGCGACGACGCCGCGACGGCGACAACGCCGCCCACGACGACGACAACGCCGAGGATGACGACGACGACTACGACGACCACAAGGACGACCACGCTGCCCACGACGACGACTACGCCGACGACGCCGACGACGCCGACGATGACGACGCCCAAGACCACGACCACGTCCACGACGACATGACGACGCCGACGACCACGACCATGACGACGACGTCCGACGACCGACCGCGATGTCGACGAAGACGACTATGACCACGGCCACGACCACGATGATGACCACGTCGGCGACGACGACGGCGACCGATGACCGACGACCGACGACCACGACCACGACGACGACGGAGGACGACGTCGACGACGACGGATGACGACGACGACGACGACGACGACGGACGACGACGACGACGGCGAGGACGACGACTACCGACGACCACGACGACGTCGACGCCCAAGCGCTCACACAACCATGACCACGACGACGACGACGACCGAAAACGACGACGACGACGATCAAGACGACGACGACGACGACGGCGACCACGACGACCACGACGACGACGATGTCGACGACGACGACGACCACGACGACGACGACCGACGACCACGACGACGACCACGAAGACGACCACGACGATGACGACGTCGACTACGACGACGACCACGCCACCGCTACTCCCTCCTCTGAGGTCCTGCTTCTCGATTTTCTCGGGCCGGGCGTTCTCGTCCGGTTTTTGGTCCCTGGGGCCGTCACAGGTCGACCTGGCATTTTGGTCCCCCCATCCTGATCCCCTCCTGCCCCCTATCCCGATCCCTTGCTGTGATTCAGAAGACGATCCTGGAAGCCTCTTATTGTCAGTTGGCCTGGCTTTCCTGCGCCTCCAGTGGTCTACAGTCGTTTGTTCGCGCCACTGGAGGCCACTGGGGGCTACGGGAGGCCACTGGAGGCCATTGGAGGCCGCGGGGGTGCCACTGGAGGAGACACTGGAGGCGTCTCCGGGCTCGCGGGGGGCCGCTGGGGTCCAATGGGTGGCCACTGGAGGAGCCACGGCAGCCACTCGGGCGACTACGAAAGGCTCCCAGGAGCGCCTTCTGAACCGTGAGAGGACCCGCCGATCCCCTCCTGCCCCCCCTACCCCGATCCTGATCCCCTCCTGCCCCCCCTACCCCGATCCCTTGCTGTGCTGTGAGAAGACCCGCCAGTTCCCTCCTGCCCTTCCCGGGCGAGCCCATAGGGGCCTCCCGCCGCCTCCCGCCCCGCGTCGCCCGGCGCCTCGGCGGCACGGCCGTGTCCGGCCCTGCGCGGCGGCGCTCCGAGCTCGGGCGCGAGGAGTGCTGGACAAGCACACGTCGGCGGCGAGCGCAAGGGGGGGAAGGGAGAGGGAGAAGGCCTTCTCGGAAGGTTCGGAAGTCCCCGGGTCTTCGAGAAGTTTTCGAAGCCTTCCCCGAAGACGGGACAACTCTTCTTAGAAGGCCCGAGGGCTTCTGAGAAGGCCCGCCGCCTTCTGAGAAGGCCTTCTCCTTCTCATTTCCCCCCCTCGCTCGCCGCCAAATCTGGGGATCTCGAGCCTCCCAGCGCGTAACGTTTCAAATGACGTTTCAAATGTTGAGCCATGGCGCGCGCCAGGGACTGCTTGTTGGTCTCTTTTTTCCCAAGCATCCTGTGGTGTTGGGTTCTCGTTTTGACGAGTCAGCGCCCCGCGTCCTCTCCTCCGCTCCTCCTCTCCTCTCCTCCACCCGTCCCTCCTCCTCCCATTCCCCTCACGCGGCCCCATAGGGAGCTCCACCGAAGGCCCCAGTGGCAGGGCCCGCATGCGCCCTACGCCCACTTTCAGCACACCTCTCACACGGTTCGTGGCACCATAATGATCTCCACCGAAAGCCCCGGTGGCAGGGTCCGCGCGTCAGCGTCAGCGTCAGCTTTTCTCTCCCCCTCATCCACGCCACAGTCATTTTGCTCTCACCCCATCCTTCGTTTCACCTGCCTCGCGATACTCGCAGCTGCATATGATTGGGTCCTTTGCCAGGCTAATTTCGAGCTGGGCGTTTTCGCCCAGTTTCGGGCCCCCGGGGCCCTCAGGTATCGATCTGGCTCGAAAGATGGTGCTGAGAGGAACAGGATTCGCTGATCCATTCATTATTTGCACACCAAACCACCCAAACCCCACCCGACGGTCTTAGACCCTCCCAAATTTCGGGTTGGAGGATGTACGGGTGCCACTGTGCTTTCTCGATGTTCCAGAACGTCCCCCCACTGGAAATTGGCAGGCCCAACGGCGGCTTCGGGTTGGGCTGGGGGGTCTGGTGGGTCGTCAGCTCTCCTGCCCGCCCGATCCTGGTGCTCCGTGGGAGGCTGCGAACTGCGCAGCCGTCGCCACTTTCGTGGGCTCCTGGGAGGGCAGCGTAGTCGGGGGCCACGCAGTCGGTGGCCACGCGCACCCA